AGGTAGGCCAAAGCTTCACTATCTATAAATATGATATAGCTTTTCTCTTTCTATTATATATATATATAGTAGATATTTAGTCGATCCAAAAAATCACCAGCGTAAGCGAACGGAAAAATTGTCGAGCGGTCACCCATTCAACCACCAACCACGGCCAACTCTGCTGAACTTTCCAAATTGACGAGACTGCAACTCTACCACTGTGCCACCATGTCGGTAGTTGGCGTACCTACTAACACATAGTACGAATGGTAACGTGGCTGTTAAATGGGCAAATCTATGCGTCTGTTATAGCTGGAGTACTGTCAGGTAAATATTGTCTGACAGAAAACATCACTTGGTCTCTTTGAAGTCTTCAAAAAACATGGTAAAAATCGTTATTTTTTTCTCTTTATTTTTTTGTATGTATATAAGTATATAAAAAAACGTACGTAAGATACAAAATATGTATAATACGACAACTAAACTTTTGCAAATAAGAATAAGCCTTGTATCTCCAAAGAGAAGCCAAATTGGCCAAAAATAACAATTTCTACGGAAGAAGTTTCCAAAAGGAGTGCTATATGATCAACGCGCATAAATGAAGAGAGGTTAGACTATCAATAAGAATAACTTTGAATTTTCAATTTTTCGACTGTTACTTTAAAAGAAAAAGTCAAAAAAAATTTTTCATCTAGTGTAGCATGTTTAAAACATTAATATGGACGTTGACAAAAGCTTTGAGAAATTTTTGTTACAACATTACCTTGCAAAATTAGAAAAATAGTCGTATCTTGAGAAAGAAGCCAGGTAGGCCAAAGCTTCACTCATCAAAGTCTTTTATTGAGGTGCAAAAATATGTTAAGCAGATTTATACAAGTAATCGTAATAATTTAGAAAAAGAACAGTCATATCAAATGCAAAGTTACAATTTCCATATCCTACCTATAAATTAATTTACTTTCTGTTTTTTATATTATATTATCAGAAAAACTGTCACGTAACCAATACCTACATAGTTTTTATTAATTTTAGGATCAGTAAAAATTAGTTAAGCAAGAATTAATTTCAATATTAAATTATAAATTTTTATAGAATACGAATGAAATAAAATATTGTATTTTTTTAATTAAAAGTAGCTATGAGACTATTGTTTTCCTTAATCTCAATAAAATATAGTGGATTATTTTACTTTTATGGTAGCCAAAACTTTAAAAAATTCTCATTTGTTGGATACGGAGATTCGAACAAGTACTTATTGTACACATACGATGTCATATCAAATGCATAAA